TTGTTTGTGCTTAGGTCAGAATTCCTATAAAGGCATCCCTTTCTCAGAATACGAGTCTGCAATGATTTCTCCATTTTGGAAGGTAGAACCTCCTGGGATTCTTCTGGACTAAACAGGCTCACAGCAGGTCCTGTTCAGCTTTCTGTAATCCTTAAGATCTTTGCTTTTTTGGGAATACATGAAATAGATTCTAGTGCTCTCTAAGTGGCAGTAGGTCCCGTGAGAATGACAGTGAGCTGGCACAGGGTAGAATGTCTCTTCGGTGCTTAAGGTGCAAGCTGAGCAGAGAGTTCCCTTCCTTTTGGAGAAGAGCCATACCAGGATCTTGAGAGCTTTCTGACTTTCCTTAGTACAGCCAAAGCCATCTGTAACACCGCCATTAACCCCCGAATCAGGTCTGGCATGACAGAGCAGTGAAAGATTTCCTATTTATTCCATTGATTGGGATTTGACAGTCACCATATGGAACCTAGTGTATTCTAGTCTATGCAGTGCACGCTATTTTTCTTACCAATCCCAAAATTTATATCTGGAGAAGTCCTGGGAAGGAAATCCGAACTATTGAAAGTTGAACTTGTTCCGTTAGAATTTAGACTCCACAAAGCCTGGGGTGGTGATTTGTGGTTTAAATGCCTTGGTGTAGATCCAGCAGTTGCATCTGACCCACTCCAGTCTGAAATCAGAGAGTGGAAGGCACAGGAATAAAATTCTTCATGGGTGTCACATCTCAAACTACTAGAGATTAGGGAGGAGAAAAGTCTGTGCTTGCTTCTTGTCCCATCCTCGTACCTGCCCTGAAGCCGTCGGTCTCCATGCAGCACAATGCACAATTCCACTGTCACACTTGTGCAGGTGGGGCTGGGTACCAGCAATTCAGTCTTCTATTTCCCCTTTAGGGCCCGAATCTAGTAATACTGGTTTGGATAAGGTCATACCGAAGAAGACAGGAGGTACCCAAAGGACGGGAGTGGCAGCCTTACCCTTATTGTATCGTACAGCATCGCGCTGGCTCACGCGCAAGGGAGAATACTCTATGTGCTACACAGATTGTTCTTGCTGAATTCCCCCTCTGCAAATGGAAAGCTACATATTCCTCAGCAGCACGCATTGCACATGACTGCTCTGTACAGGACATACGTGTTAATAGAGGATTTTTAGTCTGGTTTCCTGAAAAGACTAAACTGATTTAGCTTCTCCTTTGTTATACCCATTCATAATGTCAACAAATTTTGATAGATGCAGCGAGGTACTGAAGTTATTAAATTCTTCCACATTTCTGTGAAAAATCAACATCACTTGGGTAAGCCCAGAATAAGCCACAGCCCGTGTTATTTCTTGCTGAGCTGGTAGATAGCAGAATCATAGAGTAATTTAGGTTGGAAGGGACCTTTGGGGGTCTTCACTCCAACCTCCTGTCCAGAATTGGATCAGGTTGGTCAGGCACCTGTCCAGCTGAATTTTGACTCTCCAAGGAGAGAGACTCTCTCCGCGGCCTCTCTGGGCCACTGTTACCTTTTTAACTACCCTCATTGTGAAAAAATGTGTTTCCTTGTAAATAAGGGGAATTCCCGTAGCTGTGACTTGTGTCCTCTGTCTCCTGTCTTCTTCCTGCACACCTCTGAGAAAAGTCTGTCTCTTCTCTATAACCACCCCCCAGATAGCCAAAGACAGCAATTGCATCTCCCTTCTCCTTCCCAGGCTGAGCAAACCCAGCCCCTGGCATAAAAAATAGCTACTGGTATGTCCAATATCCGGCATAAATTTCTGAATCTCGGCTTTATGAAGACTGCAAGGCCACCAAAAACATAACTCACGTAAGGGAACATGGAATGGCACGTGAGAACAGAATTAGTGACCAAGCTGAAATCTTTTTCAGAAATCTACGTTTTTTACTGTGTGCTGTCACCCCATCATCATATCATATAAGCAGTTAACGGAAGACAATAAAGACCTATTAAGGGACAATTATCCAATGCAGTGCAGAAAGGCTATTGAGGGGAGACTTATTTCTTAATGTAGAACAAATGTGACACCAGTAGCCTGTGAAGACTTATGAGTCAAGCTAAACAAAACCCCTCAATGCTTACCAGAATAATTGCTCAGATGAAATCTTCCCCAGCAAAAGTGCACTCGGCACTGCTTCACTACTTCTTCCTTCATTAGGCAGTGAAACACAAAGATAAAGAACCCTAAAGAAGTAAGAAGAGAAATTTGCAGGTTTTCAGGTGGATTCTCCAACCTGCTGTCCCTTTTCCAAACTTTCTGCATGCCACTCAGTGTGTAATGTACGGGCACAGAGGTCAATTCTGGGCCAGCATCGTGATGGCGCAGAATTGCACCGAGACCTTTGTGCGTATGCAAGGGTAATGGGAAGAGCTTTCTGCAGATTCGGTATAAGAGTAATCTGCAAGTCACTGTGGATTCTATCAACCATTTTTATGCCCAGATGAAAAGGATTGTGCCAGCTCCTGAAAAGATGCATTTATTGGGACCCATGTTTCAAAGGCATGAATTCGTGTCTTTAATAGTGTATCTATCACAGCAGCTCTTATCTACACAACACTTCATCCCACTGCAATGGAACTTTCCTACTAAAATAGCTGAATGCTGTTCCACAAAGGCTCTGTGAGCACTCCTCTTCCCCCGTACTCAAATTACATGATGTTACAAATTTATTTCTATTCCAGGGGTGTAAACCGTTGCATTTATAGCAGTACTCCGTTCAGAAATTACCTTGCAAGGTGTTAAAAATGCTGAAGAGATACAAGAAAAATATCCTCACTGCTCCCCAAGCAAAAAAGATGAAGCCCCAACTTAAGCCCAAAAGGAACATCAAACAGAAAGCACTTTTGAGGTCTTGAAGGAAACTCCATTTCCAGAATCTGGATCTCTTTTGTGTCCTTGATTTCACAGAGTGGATTTGAAGGAGAACAGTGATGAACATGGCTGCATTCGTCAAAAATATTAAGAAGACATATGCCACAACGGAAATGTAAAACACTGTGTTCTCCTGAACCCAGCAACTGCAAGAAAGGGAGGCATGTATTCAATACGGAGTTTTGCAAGTGGTGAAAATAATGAAGTGTAGTTTGCAAAATAAGTGTCCCGTGTGGTTCTCCGACACCTAGTAAGGGGCATTCCCTAATGCCCATTACTTTCCCCAATTCATATTTTCCCACATTCATAGCATCTCTCCACTTGCCTTTTTTATGGATGTTGTAGAAATTCAGTAACTTTAAGACTTTAATATTTCTGCCAAATTCAGATAAACCTGAAAATTTCTCAACTTGATAATGTACACACACAAAGACACACTGCCTTAGGAAAACCAGGTTAAATACGACTTAATTAGGAGTCTAAATAATAGTGTGGCGCAGAGATGAGCACTGGTTAGCTTTTCCTCAGACACAAATTAGTGAGTTTTACTGCCTTTTTGCTAAAGATGGGTAACAATTTTCCCTCTGAGGTGTCATGAGTGTGCATTGCCTCTCTGATGGGATAAAATTCAAGTATTCCAGGTAATCTTCACCAACAAGCAACCAGATGGTGCTATAGAGAAAGCAGGGGAAAAATTGGAACCATTATTTGCTATAAAACCCTTTTAAAAAAGGATGAAAGAACTTTTGAATGAAGATTGGATGAAAGAAGATTTGGATGAAAGAAGTTTTCCCATTGGAAAAGAGAAGGGGTTGAGATAGTTTAAATAAAAGAATTTGAAATTATGAAGAGACAGTGATATGAACGGACATTAAAAAAACAGAAGCAAATGTGCAAAATACTACAGCAATTATTCTGCCTTTAAATTTTACCAGAAATATAATTTGCATATGCAAATGTCCCATCATGCTGTGCTAATGTCATGGTAAGAAAGAGATTTTCCAGAAAATAAAAATGCAGTTGACTGGCCAAAGCCCTCCCTGGCCTCAAGCCCAGTCCACTGACATGAGAGTTACTCCATGTAGTAGCCACACATCCAAAATGATCCAGTGAACCAGAACCACTAAAAAAAAGAGGGTTAAGAGCAAGAGATAAGTTCTTGCCTTCTGTTTTTTTCTTCTATCTTTAAGATACTCTGGTGACCATCAAAAAGCTTAAAATATACTTACAAATTGCTGAATGGATTGCTCTCAGAATGTGATCCATTGCCATAGAAGTCTTTATTTATAATGAGCACAATAGTAATTACAATAGCTGGTATTCCTAATATAGAAGGCAAAAGAAAAAGAGATATTTAGATAAAAAAGATAAAATGGAGAATATGGAAAGATGTCAGATAATACTCTGATGAGTAATTACAGCCGACATGTACATCTTGGGATCAAACTCTACCCCTAAAGCTCCTTCTGAAATGAGTGTGGCATGGCAGGTTTAATCTCCTTATTTATGTAAATTACAAATGAGTACGCATAAAAATATCTGTGTTTCCAAAATGTTTGTGAGTGTTCAAACATCTCCAGAAGGGATCCAATCTGGTAAAATAAGACCAACTGAAAAGCGGAGTGTCAAAAGATAAGCAGACCACAGCATTGTGCGTTGTGATAGAGACAGTCATTTTCCAGACAGTGTTTTATCAGTCTTCCCTTCAACTCATTTCCCATTTCCCATATTTCTTTCAGTTCTGGCTTTTCTGTTGAGAACGGCTGCCACCAACTACACCATCATGGATGGGTGCCCCCGAGAACAACTATGTGTGACATCAGATCTAAGGATAGAGATGATAATACGCTGCACACTATTCAAAAGCCTAAAAAACCCCTTTAAAACAGCATCTAATGGCAATCCAGAAAATAGGACCAAATTCTGCTCTGGGTCAGTGCCTCTGACAACACCTTTTCTGACAGATGAGTCTGTATTTTGGGTTGGTTTTGTTATCTTTCTCCCAAAAAGTCTCTGATGCTTAGTGCTTGGAGGAAAGGTGAATCAGTGAAGTCCTCAGGAGAGCTCCAGGACACAAGGTCTGGAGAAGGAGATCAAAATCACCTCTGAGCATCACCAGTGCAGGGGTGAAGGCTGTGGGCAGCTCATGCTTCCCCAGGCACACCCACTGACGTGAGGTACTGTGATAAATCATGCCTGTAAAGAGCAGGAGGGGTAGGGAAAGCAGTTCTTACGCCCACTTTCGCCTTTCTTTGCGTATGACTATGTGCAGGGAGCAACGAGCACTTTCTGCTAATGTCTCCCTGGGCAGAAGAAACTTAAGCTGAACCTGCCTGGGAGCAGAAATCCATCCTTACAGCTCAGGGTGTGCACGACACTTTTACTAGCTCAGTGTCCTAGCTTACTTTTGCAAATATGCTCCTGTCTTAGAGAAGTGAACAAGCACAGAAGTGGAGAAGAAATCCGCTTACTTACCCCAGCCAGCAATACAGCATTTTAGGATGTACTTTGGGACGTAGACATTGAAAACTTTGACAAGAGCCAAGTAAAAGTGAACAGACTCCAGGCACATCCACGTGAAAGCTGCAAGAAGGAAATAGTGAAGGAGCACGGCCACGGTGATACAGAGACCTGGCTGGTTGAACGAGGACAGCCAGGAATTGCTGAGGAAGACCATGTTCAGCATCAGCAGTGCGGCACAAAGATTGAGCAGGATTTTTGAAGGGTTGTCTCTCCGCAGCTTTCTAAAGGGAAGTCCACAAGGTTATCATGGCGTGAGTTGTGCTGGGTGCATTCACTAATGCAAAGTAGCACAAATGTGTATTCATCATATTATAAATTGGCTTCTTGTGGTGTGAGTTGTGTTTACATTAGAGTTTTGTGTTTACATTAGAGTTTTATATCACACCACTAGCATGTTTTTGAAGCAAGATGTCCCAGCCTGAAAAAGCAGAGCTTCTATATACATAGAGATAAGTTTTTCACACTTGGTGGAGGAGAGATAGACTTAACATAATCTTTTTACTACTGCATCAAATATAATTGTTATTGCAATAGAGGTCTAATAGGTCTAGGGAACCGTCGTGCCAGGAGCTACTGGCACATACAGTATAAAATTAAACCTATCCAAAAGGACAAAACACGAGAAAGACCGAGAGCAAGAGAAGAGAGAAGTGTCCCTGTTTTACTGTTGATATCATCCAATATCAGTCTTATACAGGGCAGAATCCAGATTGTTAATATTATCAAATATATAGTCTATATACAGGTAATATTCCAGATTCTTGACATGATATCTTATGTGCATGAGTAAATTTATGAAATGATAGAAATTTAGGAACGTAGAAGTGGCTGAACAGTTCAGACTAGTGCTTGTATTGAGGCATGAGGATTTGAATCCCTCTTATTTCATCACAGTCACTAGTCGAGATAAAGCAATGTTTATACTGTCAGCTCTCACTCTTGCCTCCTATGCATCACAGCATCAAATATAACAAACGTTCTGATAGTTACTGCAAATTCATTATTGCTAAAACATTAAAAGCGATACAGGAAAAAGGATCAGACTTACTCCAGGGCTAGATATGTCACCAGTGTTATACCCAAAAAGAGGGAAGAAGTGCCACATCCTGCATAGCTTATCAGAGTTAATATACGATCATGTGTGATATCTATCTCTGTCCGGGACAAGTCCTGTGTTACAAGATAAAGAATCACAGTTGTTTGCCATAACAGATAAGGAAAATTGCTTTCCACATTTTCACATCGATAAAGAAATAAATTTCTGTTCTGCTTACTGCTACTTTTGCAGGGCTTCCATTAACATTTTTAAATGTTTCTATAGCACTATAGAATATCCAAACTAGTAAAAATACGCCGTGTTTAAAGTATCCAGTAATAAGTTGTGAAGCTAGAAAACCCGTACTTCAGAAACGACAATTTCAACAAGGATTCCAGGATCTTGCCAGAATTATTGCACTGGGAGCTTGCTTTGTAGGAGAACCTCTACTTTGTTTCAATGGCAGCTTCCACGCTTGGGAACTGCACAAACCTGCTAAATGTCTTGGAGCGTGGGAGGACCCTCCACGTCCAGAAAAAAGCATCACTCTGCAAAAATCAGCTGGGAGGCTGGGTCCTGCTTCTCCAGAGCTGCTGCCCAGAGTGAGATTGAGGGATTTTGTTGTTCCCTGCCACAGTTTCTCTTATACTTGGTGAAACTTTGAACCTCAGACTAGTAACCTGTACGTCCGGTGTACAAGCGACTTTGTGCGCTTAAATAACCATGCTGATTACCAAAGTGGCAGTGCAGAAGAGGTGTGATCTTAAAATCAGACTGAATTCTCTTTGCTTGAGTAGAAACTTTAGCAAGTTGTCTGAAATCTGCAACATCTAAATTCCTTCCTGTAGAAGTCACACTTTTACTACCAGGGAGGGCAATGCAGACCTCTAGGGGAAACTGGGCGAGCATCCGAAGGCAAAGGGATGGCCTTACTCATCGAGTAGGTCGCATTCTACTGGGATTAGACAACTTCAATCAACTCAGCTTGCTTTGGACTTGCCTAACGCCTTGCGTTTGTTCAGGCCCTTCTTAGGCAGTCATCTCTCCACTCTCATTTCTTGACATACAACTTTCAGTGGCAGTTTTCTCTCTGTGAAAATACTGGCTGCCTTTTCTGCCCTATAAGTAAGAGACGATAGCTAATGACATCTCCCGTATTTATATTAAACTTCCCTTTCTGATGGAATGTAGATAAAACTTTCGGAAAGATATAATGTCATTAGTTGCCACTGGCAGGTAATAAATTTAACTCAGTATTTCCAATGCAGCAAATAAGACATTAATGTTGATTAAGTTACATTTCAAAGAAGTACAAACTACATCTATAAAATGAATTTGCCTTGAAGCAAGTGACATTTAGAGGACTTTCTACCACAAAAATTGTTATAACTCTTTTGTTTGTTATTACTCATTTTGGCAAAATTGCAGATATCTAACAGGTTGTATAGATATGAATCTCCCATCTCTCCCCAAAACTAGTGATGACTTTGTTTAGTGCCGTGGGACTTTTTTGGAGATGATTCACGGAGTACTTACCAGTAGGACTCCAAAATGGGTAAGATGGTTACAAAAACAGATTGTGTAATTCATATCTGTATATTCTATTTCACACCCCGATGTATTCCAACCACCCAGTCCATCTGTGTAATAGAGAAAAAGGGATTTTTAAGCAGAGTTAGTCATGCTCAGTCGTTTATAGCTCTGCAGCATGCAGAATGTGTGAATATGAGCTCAAGTTAGTACAGATTGCAGGGTCATTTAGCAGCACTCAAGTGAGATTTCACACAGGAACACATCTTATATAGTTGGCTGAGAACCTCAAAAGTTGGATGAAATCCTTTGGTGGAATGAAGAAATATTTAAAGTCATTTACATGCATGCACACAGGGAAAGCAGGACGGTAAGAAAAATGCGCTGGACTAGATTACACTGCAGGGTGTGGAGACACAGAAGGCAGGAAATATTTACAGGGCAGATGATTTGTTTAGGCAGAGTGTAGCATTGAAAAAGCCAAGATCTAAATTTATGACCCTATTTATGTGGCATGGGTCATAGTCAGAAGCGAAGCTTCTGATTTAAAAATTACGTATATTCTAAACACCAATAATTGCAGAGAAAAACCTCTCCCACGTGTTCTGAGTTAACCCAATATACACTTCTCTTTCTGTGTCTGTGGACTATCTGAGCCATATTGAAGACTTGACCACAGCAAAGCCCCCACTGACTTGCCTGAAGTACCTGTGAGAAGTCATCTGACATTTCATTGCATTTCTGCTTTTTTCTTAGACTAAGTCTTCTATTTATGTAGATGCACCATTGTACCACACTGGACATGCATCCTCTAGTAGTAACACTGATTTCTGAGGTATCAAGGTCAATGGAAACCAGCAACACAGACTCAACAGGACAGCCTCAAAGTTTCAAGCTGCAATGTCAAGGAGCCAAAGGCTTTGGGAGGCTGGTGACAGCGTGGTGGCAGCTCTGTAAATAACACTTACCGTTCTTCTGAAAGTCCCAAAAGACGCAGTGCACTGCTGCATTACCCTGAAAACAGAGAAAAAAGAGGCTGTGACATTTGTTCAGTACGTCTGTACACCGCCTGCACTCGCAGACGGTGCATCTTGCCTGTAATCAGGGGTTCTAACTAAGGCAGTTTGATGTGATTTCCTCTGTACTGAAAGCCCACTGATGTCTGTGATTATTTGCGTGGTGGTGCCACAGAGGATCTGTAGGTCACTGGAGATGCCAGCAGTTCGGGGGCCGCTGGACTCTTGGTCATTGGAACCCGCTGGAATATCGGCCGTCTCATCCATGGCACTGAAAACCAGCAGAAGGTCCCAATTTTCACCTTCCCTTTTACCAAGGGAAATCCTGGGAGTCAGTGGTTTTCTCAGTTTTCCCAGTCTTTCTGTATCTTGTTTTGCCTTTTAAGGAGAGCAGAAAATCTGGCAAGTTTTCCAGCTTAGACTGATTCCTGTGTCTGATCTCATTGGCTTCATGTGGTATCTGAGATGTCCTTCCAAATTACTGGTGAAATTCAGAAGTTATGACTAAGACCTAGAATAACAACCTGAGATTTTATACAATAGAAAACCTGACAAACCCAAACAATTCTCTACACCGGAAAACCTTTATTTTAGAATTTCAGTGTTTCCTCTCTCTCTCTCTGAAACCAGGCAGGGAAGACACCTAAGAGAAAATAAAGCTTGCCTGCATATTGCAAACAGCTGAACAGATTTAAATGGATATTCAATGCAGTGTTTTCTCTTGGGGACATTCTAGTTTATTACTCATAATGCTGCAGCAAACTTTCCCAAGGCACAGATTCATTTTCTTTTATTATCAATAAAGTTTAATAAAGCACAGAGTTTACAGGAAGCCACCCTACCAGATAAGCTGTTAAGATGTGTGATCTGTAGACTGTCAAATATAATTAGGCAGAGAGCCAAAGATATAGGTTAGGATGATATCTCATTAAATATTTAATTAGGATCTTTTTAAAAGGTCAAGGAAAAAAATATGAGAGGTGCCAGATGGCCTGGTAGAATAAAAATGATGGAAGAGAGAAGATATCTAGATGAAATTCTGGGTATATATTATTTGCTAGAACTGAATGGAAAGAGCATGTTGCCATAAAATCAGCATTTTGAAGCTCTCATTAACTTGAACTTTAATCAAATTCATCTTATTGAATAACTTTGTTCTGTCCTGGGTTTGCCATGTATTTGTGTGGAGGCTGGACCATAAACATTGGCAACACAAAAATGCTAAGGTGGAACTCAGTCAACAAGTTTGACCCATGCCCATTTAAAAATAATTTAAGATACATTCTAGTTTTGAAACAACATTTTGAAACAAAACAAAGCAAATTAATTTTGAAAACATCCATGCAATGTTTTGATTTTTTTTTTTAATTTACCTCTTTTGGAGATTAAAATAATTTGCTGAATTTGGAGCAACTACAAATCATTTCAGTCAACATGATTCAAAACCTGCCATTTTTTAGCAAATAAACTATTCCCTGAAAAAAATAGTCCAGATCGACACAAGGAAACAATGAAAATGTCCCTCGCTGCTAAGCATAACTTTAGAGTAGAGACACAAGCTTTACTAACCTGCAGGAATTAAACACTCAGATCTGTGCGGTCTGTCAGTGTTTTGGTTGATATATCATGGAGAGGTCAGACAGCAAAATGTTTTAAGCTTATTCATCCTGTTGCCAGGCTAAGTGAAATAGGCTCTACTTAAACATGTCTCTTATGAAATGAACACATCCTACCGTATTTTGGTCTATGTGCTGAAGAGTAATAGTCACAGGGTCATGAAGGTTCTGAATTGATGTGTTTTCAATGCTGGCACTCACAACATAAGTATTCAACCTCTCCTTCGTTAAACTGTCGTCCTGCAGTGGAAAAATACAAGCATGCAAGAAAAAAAAAAAAAATCCAAGCTCTTCTCTGCTTCCATTTGTTTAAATTGTATTTCGTGGAAATGGTGATCAGCTAAACACCATGGGATGCCTGATGCAATTTAGCTACTTGCTACTTCATTAGAAAATGCAGTTAGTTGCAAATTCGGGGACAGTCTCCACACCAGCTGAAGCAGAACAGAGTTTCAGATACATCAGCTGGATTGAGAAAGCTGTGTAATTGTTTCAGTATATCAAAACATCCAGTTGTGCATCATTAAGCTCATTAGACAGTAGACACAATTATGAATGCTTCTTCTGCGTGAAGAACATTGCTTAGTCCACTCTATGCTCCATCATACCAAATGTCTCCCTTTTAAATTACACTCACCCACCTCCCTGAGCTAAGAAAACACAGCAAATACTAGAATAGTCCTAAATGTTGCATATCAGTGCTGCTATTATTTTAATGGGGAGATAAAACTTGAAATTATTTTCATGATATTTGACATGTACTGTGCATGTTCCTCAAGCAAGAGTTTACTATCAGAGGAAGATTAGGTTATGCTCTTTTCCTACAGAAGAGCAGTATTGGAATAACGTCAGCCACAGAAAATGAACAAAAAGTCTAAGGTCTACAGACACCTCTCAGAGCGTCATTGCTACAGGGAAGGTATTGCTGCCCGGGTACAACCTCCCAGCACATTTTTTAGTGCTCCATCAATCTGATCTAAATGTGCCCAGAACAGATGATGCTATTGGGATTTTTCTTTTGTACGCACTAAGAACAGCTGAACCGATTCCTGCTGTGTTAGTGTTTGTTAGGAGTCGCAGTTACCGCAAAGAGCGAGGTAGTGCCAAAAAACTTAAACTGGATCTTTGAATGCTTGTCTGGGTCAGAGTGCTCGATCCCCAGGAATTTCTTCAGTGATTTTGGCAAAAACACCGAGGCCAAGGCCTTTTTGAAAGGGTTTTCTTGAACATTGATCTGCAGGAGAGAGAGGACATGCTCAGAGCTGCCTTGCCTCAGGTACACAACGGTACACAATAGCAGCAACGTTGTCTGCTTCAGTCAATGGTCCCTGAGGTAGTATTCTGCTGTCACCTTGAGATCCACGCCTCTGTCGTAGGAGGTAACGCCAAAGGCCAGTCCTCCAAATACGCTGGGATCTGGGCGCATCACCAACAAAGCCAAGGAAGTGGTTATGACCGACATACTTCTTTCTGTGTAAGTCACCTTATAGCCGACCTCCTCAGTTGTCTTCAGGATACTTTACCAAGAGCAACAGCAAGGAAAAAAAAAGAAAAAAGATACATATCTTGAAACGTTCTCCTGGCTTCATAATATCCAGTCAGGAGACAATCAGCTAAAAACTGCTCTGATTTATGATCACAAGGAGCAATCACTGGAGCAGAATGGGTCCATTTTGGGGTAGATGGCATTTTGTCTGGCACAAGGTCAAGTGATGGCAAGCATTGAGTTAGCATGTTTGAGTAAGCCAAAACTGGGAGGTGGAAGACATTCTCCTGCAGGGGCAACATGAGGTGGTTCTGGAAAGACTTGAGTTAAAATTCACACCCAATCAAATACTCCATTTCATCTGGAAGGCAGTAACTTGTAAAACCTGCTAATTTGATTATCTGCAATCATCTAATTGTACCCTCAGGTAAAATATCAGAGCCAGAATAATTTAGCCTGCAAGGGACCTCTGGAGATCTGTCATCCAACTCCCCACCTCCCCCAGGCAGTGCATACTTTAAAGGTAGGTCAGCTTGCTCAGGGTCTTGTCCAGTAAAGCTCTGAAAGTCTCTGAGGATGAGATTTCACAGGCTTTCTGGGCCCTGCTCTCAGTGTTTTGCTTTGGGGTTTTTTCCCCTAAGTAGAGAGAAGAGGCTGGAATCCAATGGAATCAGCAAATTAGGGTTGTTATTATGGATATTAAGAGTCAGAGGCAGCTCCACATCTTGTTTAGCCTCCCTTAAGGCTATTCAGCAGTATGCAAGAAGGGATAATACTCTATTGAAAATGTGTATGACAGCTGGCCCCGACAGACTAAAGGAAAACCTTCCTGTCCTCCTTTGGTCTGGTGTTATCTTCATGCATCGTTGGTCCCAGACACACAAGGACCCCCATGGGATCCTTACAGCCACAGCTGCCCTAGAGCTGCAAAGTCTGGAGTTCAACTTCCTTGAAATATCTGGGATGCAAAATTTCTACTGAGGCCTGACAGAAGGAGCATAATAGCTCTTGTGAGGATATCATGCAAGCACTTCTCAGGTATCATCACAGTGGTTGTGCTCTTCTGAGGTCTGATGTATGGAAAAATTAAAATAGCTAAGATTCTCCTGTCCATAAAAATTATAAAGATATTTTTATTACAACTGTTACATGCCAACTGCATCTCCATTAAGGGTCAGGAATACAAGGCCTATTAGAATATCATCCCATTAATGTCCCCCAAACCTTACATTTCATGGGAGGAGAATTCAAAGTAATGGATATTTCACTTAAAAACCACCGCAGCCTATTTGGGAAGGCAGAGGTGTTGAGTGCTGGCATCTATCACAGCCCCCACTCCACACACTGCAGTGCAGTAGACTTTGAAGAGAGAGCGTACAGCCAAAAGGATCATGATGCTACTCAGTGCTTTCTCTCTGGCAGATTTTCTAAGCTATTTTTAGCTACTCCTCCTGAGTTTGAAAAGGCAATGCATAGTTGTCCGGTACAGACACCTGGGCTGTGGTGTAGTTTATGGCCCACCTAGAACTTACATGGAAAGTTCATTTTTCTTGCTTTTAAGATTTCTTTTATTAAGATTTCTTGTATTTCTTATTAAAATATTGTTTTACATTAAGTGAAACAGAAAATTGCAGATACACACAGTCTTTAAAACGAGAGATGCTGAAAGACTTTTTAATGTGATGAACACTGCTTCTCTTACACTGTTGGTTAGTGTTGGATTGACCAGTGCAAAGTAGAATAATGTTTCCTATTTGGAGCCTCAGGCTGTGCGGTGAGAAGTGGGTAAGCTGTCTTGCCCAAATCAGAAATGGGTAAACTCTGTGTACTTGCATTTGCCTTTGTAAAGGCTGGTAGTAGTTTTCTGAACAGTGCTCTGAAGAGCCAGACATTTCAAAAAAGGTAGTTGAGTTACCTTTAAGACCTCAAAGGAGAGAGATGCTTTTAAAGTTATCTAGCAACCTCGATTTTAGCCTGTGTGAGAATCACATAATGGACATGGGATCCTAAGTGTAGATTTTGAAGTCTAACGTTGAATAGCTGTGCTTGAAAAATCTTTATCAACACAGTTACAGCAGCCTAGTCTGGTGTGCTCGTTGAACAGATACATGTCTCCAGGCTGACCTGCCAACAGACCTCATTGCCGAGCTGTGAAGATCACCTCTGAGATGAGGTGGCAGCTAGACGTTCTCCCTGATCTGCCTCCAGGCTGAGACGCCCATGGAGAACAACTCTGTGATGGTGACTTCTGCAGAACTGGTTCTGATAAAAGCATCTTTGACAACATAACCAATTCCACTGCTAAGAACCCCAAAACATGTTTAAGGTCCAAGTATAGAAATTGATAACTCTTGTGCCATTTTTTATTAGGAAGCCACTCTGTGCAAGTTGTCTTACTTACCTATTTGTCATTTTTCTAATGTTCTGATGTTCTATTTCCTGCAGCAATAAATAGTTTAGTATAGACAATATAGTCTCTGCAAGTGTCATGCTCATATCTGCAAGGCTTACGATATCAGAAATTTTACTTGCAATGACTTCTAATTCTTCCACGTGCAGTGCTGCATCTGGCAAGAGGTATAAAATATGCAGTACAACATCTTGTGCATCCTCTGAAAAAAAGAAAGTACAGATGATTTATGTGGCAGAGCTACATGTCTAGCTACATAGCGACATGCCTCTGTGTTAAAGCAAGGACTTAGTCTGCTTCTCCTCTCTTTCCATATGGTCATATTGAAATGGTCCTGATCTATTACAAAGTTATCACCTAAGAATAAGTCAATAAGCTCTCAACATGTCAATGACACTGGCAAAAACTCCAAAGCAAAATCTGGATATCTCAGGTTGTATTTAGAAGGAGGAAAACGATGTACTTTTCATAAGAATATTATCCTCTGCTTTTGTATTATCAAGATTATCTGTAAGTAATATTTAGTTTTAACTTTGGTTTACAAGCATTTGTGAGTTCGAAGTTACACAAGATCTGCCCCTCTCACCAAATGCTGCTTAACTGGAATAGCAGCAAAAGCAAATTCTGAATGGTATAGTTTGCCATTTATCATCTCATCACCCTTCTATGATTTTTTTATAGAAGCAGAGTTTTATATCCTGGGAGTCAGACAGACTGTATGCAACTGCAGATACCTTTCAATGATCTATTATTTATTTGATGCCACTGCTGAGAAGGTGGATAAGCTATGGTATTGTTTTCATTTACCGTTCAAACAATCTGCACTGTTTGGTATAGCTTAAAAAAAGGTATAATCAAGTGGTAAGTCACCTTATAGCTTACATGAATTACAGCACAAACTTTCCAATTCCATGCACTGATTTGTGCTTCTTTGTATGAGATCTACAGAACATGAACAATGAATTATTTTGATGTGGTAATAGAGAGAGCATAAAGCAAAACCTGTCACATTATTCACTGGTTATGTATTTATTTCTAAATCTAAGTGTGGGATTTGAGACAAGTCTCCAAAGTGGTTGCTAGAGAATTTTGATGCACCTGCAAAATTCATCTACATTAAAAACACTTTAAGATGACCAAGTGAGTAGGATGCACATAAAACAACCTTATTGCTTCAGTTCTTCAGATGTCCAGCGTAAGTATTATCTGAGTATAACTGTTTTTAGTTTGATTCACTGTGTCACTGAAGTATTTGGTGCCTTACCTTCTGTTATTGTGATGTTGTGGAGGTCTAAAATACTATTTGGAAGTTCTTCCAGTAATTTACATTCAGTCATATTTGGTTTCATCCAGAAAGCTTGCTCAAGTTCAATATTAATTGCACTGAAAAATGAAAGCGGTGTACACTGTTACAAGAAAAAAATATATAATTACTGACGTTCATATTTCCCATATAAGTAGCTAAGAATCTAATTGTAGCCAGAGCAATTTGAAACGCATCTAGAGGTATCGGAGGGCAGGGAGCCGTGAATGGGTGGCACGAAATGCTGCCATCCCTGTTTCCCTTCCCTGCTCAAGCAGAAAGTCAGCTTCCCACCACGCTGGCTCGCGCTGGCTGCGGGTGCTGGAAACGGCGCAACGCTGCCTTCTCCCGCAGCCGCTGCTGGACTGGCCCTGTATACCCTGCGTCTTCCTCGGCACGGCGCTGCCGTGTGCCGTGGCAGAACGCGGTCGGGGTTCCCACCACACAAAGCCCGGCTCTCCCTCCTGTTTCCCGTGCAGGAACCAAAATGAGACGATCTCATCACTCACCAGCTCCTTTGAGCAGACTGCAGAGGGTTCTTCCTGCAGCTGACCTCTGCTTTGCTAGCTGGACTTGTTAGCGGCCAGGAATAATTCCCCTTGTAGGTTGTGTACGAAAAGCTTTCCGGACAATCCATTAGAGCTGAGGAAGAAATACATAACAGCTCTTTAAAAAGATTTAAGTCAAAAAGAAGACTCCCCTGAGACCCAGCTGTTCTCTGGACCTCCTTTCCTGATGGGACTGAGCTGTAGTTTGCAGACTGGTAGGACTATTTTACAAGTTTATTGGCTGCAAGAAAACATTTTGTTTAAATATTTCACCTGTTCTTCTACAATCTTTTTCTCTTTTGTTTGACAAGGTCAGTTCTCAGGTGAGGTGTTAATTTCCCAGCATCACAAACTGTATCTAACAACAGTACATCCTGTGGGCTTCTGTAATCTATCTGAAGGTGCTTTCACCGTGCCCTTCATTATCCCATCAGTGTCTTTCCTCCAGGCTTGTCGTTTTATTGCAGTTGATCTTTTGTAAGTCTTTGGTATAAAATGCGGTTTTGGATTTTAGGTGCAGTCTGTTAGCTCTTACGTCTGGCTTACTTCTGTATTTTAGAGCAGCAATAGATATTGTAACCAAACCAACAACAAGTTTATTTGCCATTTGAGGCTTGATCCAATTGCACTGGCATTAAGAAAATATCTACAATGGGTTCGGTTTTGGTGCTTGGCTCTGGTCCCCCTCAATAGCAAGGCCCTGGGGCACTGGCTATGAGCAGGGGCTCCTGGATTTGCAGCTGCATCAGCCTGACCTTCCCTTCATTGCACAGGTGCTCAGACCTGCCTTGGCATCAGGACTCCAGTTTTAGCTTACCTCCATTTGTCTGGAACCAAAGTTTTTGATCTTACTGTCATTGCATCGTGTTCTACAGTTTGTGCATCGGATGAGGTCAGCCTAGCTACTTGTAGGGGTGGTTTCTAGCCCTAACCTCACCACAAAGTTTCGATTAGATAAAACGCTTGTAGCCAGAATTACAAAGCATAGGATTTCAATGAGGTTTTAATGAAGTATTACCTATTGGCTTGACAGCCACATCTTCAGGTTTCACGAATAAGGACAACGGTTCCTCTTCATAAGTGTCATTCAACAACTCTTTGATCTTGAGACTCAGCACTTCTTGCGTTTCAAGTGATGTAGCCTTTATAATGGCCTTACAGACATAGCTACAGATATAACACACAAACAAGGCTACCATGTTAGCAACCGTTTACAATTATAAATAGCTACAAAATTAAGGAGTAACTCAGAAAATTATATTGAGTTGGAAAATTTATGTATGTATTTTGTTCACCGTAAGTGCAGTCCTATGGCAAATGTCACCAAACGCCACCTCCTACGTACACTAGTACTTTATTGCTGGAAATGCTTTCTTAAGTACAAATTATTGGGAATACAGGTACAAGAATCTACTTATGGTTTCATGGTAAATACCTCAAGAGAGTTCCTAATCACATTGTCTTGGCAAAGGAACATCTCTGTAACAGGTAAGCATTTTTCAACCATGTTTTTAAAGTTTGGAGTGAGCTAGTCATAAGACGATGAGGTACTTGAGTACCTCTGTGTCCAAACAGAAGTGGCAGACTCCAAAGCTCTCTGGAAAACTGAGATTTAACTAAGTGCTTTCAGTGGCTTTACTGGATTCCAGCTTTTTTCTCCTCAAAACTGTTAGTCTTCTGTATAACTACATTTGCTGACTTGAGGAGGTTTGGAGAGACAATCTTTGAGTGGCTTCAGACGTGGCAGAAGGAAGCAAGAAGCCAGCTCTCCGTTCTGGGTGGATGACTTCAATGGGCCTCTAATTTAACTGAGGGCTAATGAGTGAGATTTCCTTTGGACTGGGATGTTTCAATTGTTTCCAGCTTACTCCTGTTTCGACACAGTTGTTCCCCACTCAGCAAGGCCTCTGTAAACCATTTGCAACCCCTTGAAGGTGATGGGAACCCAGCTCTCCTTTCTCTTCTGGTCTGAGGTCAGAAGGCAATTGGGGTTTCCCGCAGAAGAGGTGCAGGATTCATTCTGGCAGACTTCTTGGGCACTGTCCACTCACCGTTCTGGCCCCAGTGAAGGATGCTGCTCACCGCCAGCTCTTACAGCGAGCGCAAACCTCCCGGCTTGCCATGGAAGCACTTTGAGCCTCCCAAGGTAAGAGAGGGAAACCTTGGACGCTCAAATACATTTCCCCAAGTCAGGCATTGCTGTGGATCTGACTCCACGTGTGCTTTTCTGTTTTAGACAACTAAAGGTTCCACAGTTACTCTGAAACTAAAACAGCTGAGGAGGGGTATAATTCCTCCTCACCCTAAAAATGCAATCAATATGAACTACGAAAACTCACTTCATAACCATGGGTCTTACCTTTGTGACATCCGCTTTACCTTCAACTTCAGTTCACATAGAAGGACACAAAAATTTAGAAGGTGGTTAAAATCAGCTGGCGCAACTTGGATTTTAAGGAAAGCAAACAGCAGAAACTCAGTGGGCTTATTAAAACAGAACCTATTGCTTTAAACGTCATTAGGACCTGACTCTCTAGAGCAGCCTTTGTTTCACAGCACCTCTAGAGGTACATCAGGATAAAGCAGAACCTCATAGTGCATTGATGCTGCCTTACGCAGAGAGCAGAGCGGATCTACATCCAACGCTGCTCAGTGAGTGTGCTCACCAGAAGGCTATTGCAAAGCAGGCTGCTGGCAGATAGCGCTGGGCACATCCAGCATTCCTTTGTCTGCACAGAACATCCCAGTATCTATTGAGAGACAGGGACTCTCCAGCTCGACTGTTGGCATCGGGTACACCTACCAGATCGAAGGTCAAGTTTTAATAATTCCAACAAAACACAATAGCATCAGCATTTAGACCATGCAGCTACTATAACCTCTCTGCAGAGATAAGAAAAAGTAAGTTTGTAAATCAGAAAAAAACAAATTACATACGTGAGCCCTCTTATAGCCACTGCTTTGTGGATAATTACCCCTGCAAGCAAAACAGAATAGAAAAATTATTTCATAGTAAGCATATAATATGCCCCATTCTGCTACCACCTAAAAAAATCTTGCAACCACACTGTGCCAGACCTTGCAGCAGAGAAGTCCTTGTGAATTTGGCATAGCTGTGTCTACATAAATTGCCAAGAACAAGTGCTGTAACAGATATGCATCCTGACAAAAACTGTTTTTCCAGAACAGGACCCACCCTTTTTCTCTTACAGTTTTCCAAATGGTAAACAGTGCAGTGTGTTACTGTATTGTCATTTGTAAAGCAAGCAGTAACTGTGGAAGCCAGAGGAGAAAGTAGGAAGTCAAAATATGCATAAAATGATAAAATTCCATGTCTGTACAAGTGACACTTCTATGCATTGCTAAATACCCCTCTCAGATGCTCACAGTTTGGATGTGACTACAGATGGATTGGGCTAAAAGGGATGAAATAGAGGAGTCTTGTACAAAAAAAACATTGTTTCTGAGCAGGATTTTGGAACTACAATATCCTTTCATCAGACACTGCCACACAGGAGCCCGTGGGTACCTACTTACACAAACTGGACAGCCCTGAGGGGTCTGTGACCCTCACTCTGCAGATGGATGTGACCCCTAAACTCCTGTGCACTCACATGCAACCACTGCAACAGGGCTCAGCAGTACTGATGTGAATGAACCCTGCAGGTACCAGCACCCTGCCCGGCTTTCCCTCTCCCGCAAGTACCAATTTCTGCCCTTTTTGACTTGCCAGCTTGGCATACCGGATACCTCAGCCCACATGAGGCATCGCTCACACACTGCAGAGGCACCAAAGGTTTCGTCTTCATCATGAACCAATTTACATGGCCAAAGATGAGGTCTCAGTTTGGCAGCAGCTACTTGCCTTGCATTAGGCAGGATGTATTTTTTCAGGTGAATGAGCCCCATAACAAACTGTGAGTGTTCCATGTGATTGCAGCTGTACAGATCTGGGGGTTTGGTTTACACCCTTGTCATGGGACTGTTCAGTTGTGAAATGGGTATTTGGAACCCAGCTGTAATTTCCCTCAAAGGACCAAGGGTCAAGGTGACACCACTAAACAGCCAGAGGCTTACCTGACTTTAAAGTTTGTCACAACAAATTCTTCTCCAGTAAATATGATACTAAACTGGAAAGGAAACAGTAACATTTTTATTAACTTGATTTATCAATAGTTTATCTAGACCTGCTTGTAAATTTAAAATTGTCATCAAAATACTAAATCCCAATGAAAATGGCTAAAAATTTTTGCAAAATGCCAACACTTTTCCTTCTGAATTTAATTTTATCCTGTTAAAAATGCATTGGAAAACATGATTCTGAAACACCACAATATTGTTACATGGATACTCATCTCTGTGTTGTCCTGTAAGTTTGCATGCTGTACCAGCTGTCTTCATCATCTGATACTTGCTAGAAATACATGAGAATGAGAAAAGAAAGCTGCTCACCCAGTCTTCAAGAAGCTTCCTTGCGTCATAGTAATCAGGAGCTCTCTCAGTTTTGTAGAAAAGAGAGAAGTTCATGTCAACGTTGAAGAAGCTGACTGTAAGAAGAGAACGTAAGTGAGATGCGTCCTGTAGATGCCCAGAAGGTGCCTGCACCCCTTCCCATCTCCTCACCCCTCTGTTGAACCACGGTTGTGTTTCCCATTCCCATGGCCACCGGGGCTCTTTGGGAAATCCCAGATGCCAAGTGCCCGGTCTAGATTACTGCTGCATTGCTAGAAAATTTATTACAGAATCTAAAAGCCCAAACACATGGTCAACTTAACAAACAAGTTGTGGTTCATAGTTGTGGGTGCACTAACTTGGCTTTTACTGCCTGCTGAGAATGCATAGGAAGAGATAGGAGGATCTGCTGACATACACCGCCTTGCTAAGCAGCGATAGCTCGAGCATGTGACTGAGTCTTAAATTGTCACGTGTATGGTGTCAGACAGCGTCAGTGCTGGTCATGTCAGCATTTAAAACGGCCTCGTTTGGCACTTACTTGGAACGGTACCATTGGTACTACTGGTCAGAGATAACGGGGCCAGCGTAGGAGCCGCTGTTGACAGTGCTTCCCTCGAGCCTGCTGAAAGGAACATTAAAAAGCCTAAGAATCCCCAGTGGCAAAAGAGTAAGGAAGAGCATAGTCCAGGTGAGAGAGAGGTATGAGTCCTTCAGCGAAGGTCATCGTAACAGAGAGCTGCTGTTGTTCCACAGACCTCAGCAGGGTAAAGGCGAAGGGGGAAAATGCACCTGTGCATGGGGCTTTGGGTTTGCTTTTTTTATTTCTCCAGACGTAACTACAGTGTAATAAGGGATAAAACAGGATTTGCAGAGTTTAGATCACAAGGGAGACCACAGTTTATGCAACATTATCTTTTCTCATTGCTTGTGTTGAAAAGCAGTTCTCTCTCTGTTCCCTTCTTGCTCGTGTAACCTGTGCCAGCCTTCAGGAAAAGGCGTTTGTCAAACATCGAATGCCAACGAGTTAACGTGCAGTAATGAATGTCAGATGAACATTGATATTCATGGTCTGTGGTTTAATGATAACCTGGCATAAGGATTCCTATTATAAATGCCGGCCATCCTGCCTGTTGTTTTCAAAGTAAAGAATTCTGAGAATTTGTTCATAGCTAATTTTCCTTGAAATGAATCACCTTGTCAAATCAGATATGGCTTTTGCATTTCACATGCAATTTGCCACATCACCAGGCAGACAGGGACAACACGGGTGATGCTTGTCACATGTACTACAGAAAATTGCAATGAACCGAGTCACCGCGTAACATTACAGACCCTGGTGATGAAAGCAAAGCAGGATCACAACATTTTGCTCTAGAGGTACAGTTTCCTCGCTGTGCTGGTAGTTTGTGTTTTTTCCTTTACTCACATGAGTGTCAGACTTGACATTCTAGCTCTGACAGAGAAATAAACTTACCATATGAATACAAAGCCAAATGTCTGCGAATAAGGAGTGTGGTCCGAAATAAGTAGGATAAGGCCACACTTCACAAAATATTGTTTTCTCTACTGTAGTTCAAGGTAAGGAGAATCACCCATGCTTAAAATATAACAGCTCATCTCTGACCCATTCAAATCAATGGCAGCACATCCATGGACAATAACAGAAACAAGGGCTGTTAAAAACTTGAAGCCTCCTATTTTTATCCTGAATAGCTTCAAGTTATTTTGTGAAGTTGAGAGGACAGCTGAAGTCAAAAGCCCCTTCTGAACAGGCACGCTACGGTACACAAGGTTCTGCTTCCTAGACGAACAAGCAATTTTACCCTTTGCATTAAGCCACAGGCTCCACTAACACCGGCTGACATACACATGAATATGCAGAAAACAAGCGGCAAGAAGTATCTACTAAATTAAAGGCAAAACCCTAGAGACAAAGGAAAACAACTCCTTCGAAGAAAACACAAAGACCTGAAACTAAGGGGACGTGCTTGTCCCTCCAGCACACCAAGCCCTCCCCATCCTCACAACACGTGCTACCATGAGAATAGAAAGAGCAAAACCACGGAGTTCCTGACCCTCACTGCTGCGGGGAGGCAGATATTCCAGCATCACCCGTGACTTTAATCCCACAGTTTAAACCTCTAGTGGAAACCTGCATGCCTTCCTGCGGCGTGAAGCTGCAGAGGTGGGTTCTCTGAGCCCCAGTGTGATGGTACAAATAATTAGTCCCTGGTTTCAAGCTGACAGAAAATGAGTGTCTTGTCATAAGCTGTTTTTAAGAACTGCTGTCATCCAGGAAGTGCGATGGGAACGCAGAAGGGACAATGCTGTGCAGACATGCCCTGTCACGGGAATAAATCTTTTTTTCTTTCCTTACAGAAACACAGACATGATATTAGGCTATAATTTATCAAGCCGTAAGCCTCTCTGTACACTTAGGGTTTTAACTTGTCCTCCTGACTGTTCCAGTGCCGCAGACCCTCTCCAGACAGGAGGAATCTGCATGTAGCTGGGCGATTACAGGCTCCACTCTGTGCCTGTTGGTATCAGTGTAGCGTTTCAAACACCGTTGCCTCAGGGGTGACGTACGGTATCACCCAGCGTCAGCCAGGATGAATCAGAAAAATCTGCTAGGGAAAAAATAAATAAATAGATGAATGGCCAAACAAAACCCAAACTCATTCTAATCAGGAGCGTAACTCGCAATGCCGTTTTCATCTCCTGACAAATGAAGCATAATTACAACTTCACAGATTCTAATTTATTTCTTTCTCTTTCTCATTATCACCTGAAGAAAAAAAAAAACTCTTTATTCTCATATGTCAGGGATCATTACCAGCAGGCAGGTGTGGGACTAGCCACCCGCATCCTGTAACTTCATTTGTTTTAATTAACATGCATGTAATTCCATTCACAAAATAAGGTCTAAGGAGTGATGACAGGTGATATCTGAAGCTAGAAAAATACTGTACCACTGATGCTTTTAAAGTCTTGGATTTTGATTTGATAATTTAATAATGGCTATTTGGCATTCTGCAAATATGTATGGTCTCCAACAGCAGAACAGCAATAACTAGACCGACCAATAAGAAAACTGTAATAAATATATATTTTATATTATTAGCAGTCATTTTCAGATATATTCCAGATTATCTAAAATTAAGAAGAAAATCAGGAATCAGTGTGTGGGTGAGGAAGGGGGAGGAAGAGATGAAGACTGTGAGTCAGAGAGAGGATGAGAACACACACTTCTACACTTTTAGCAAAAGCCCAGCTGAGCTGGAAAAGTAAAGGATCGTCTTCAAGAACTCTGGGGAAAAAAGCAAAGGCAGAACAATAACTTTATTCCTGC